ACGCGCCTCAACTTCTCTTCTGCCTCCATTTCTCTTACATTTACGCACAGAACTCCTGCCACCTCCTCCTCCTCTTTTTTCTCCCCATGGTCCAATTTCTCTCTCTACTCCTCCACTCTCCCCGTGCCTCGATATGCGTCTCTTTTATGGCCGTTCATTTCATTTGCATCCCAGGAGGAGCAGAAGGAGCAAGCGTAGGAGCAGGAGCAGCTCCGACGTCCCCAGAGACGCACGGATAAGGGTCAGGGGAGATTCTCCCCCTGAGGCGGCGGCAGCAGCAGCAGTGTGACTGCCACGCACCCACGACGCAGACACGACACGTGCCGTCGACCCCCCACTCCTCAGCCGTCACTCAAACACACACACACACACACGGCGCCAGTTTTCCAAGGGACCAATAACGTGTCCAAAATTAAACCCCGCACCTTTTCTGGTATTTACCGCATACAGCAAAGGTTATTTCTTATATTAATAATAAAAATTTTCTGGTATTTACCGCATACAGCAAAGATTATTTCTTATATTAATAAAAAATATCGATCCGATATTTCATTATGTAACATCGTCACCTAAAGCACGGATAATCGACCCAACGGTCACTGTGACCTCACAGGTCTTTACTCGAGATTTAATTATTTTCTATCCAATTAAAGCCAAGAGAACAGGTGTAGTATGTTACACTCACCGCTCTGTTGTCATCACCATAAGGACCAAGTATAATTTAAAGGGACATTTTCCAAATTGCTTCAAACCAGAGAGCTGCTCTCCAGCTTAAGTATGGATTTGTTGAATTATTCATGCTTTTCAGCATTTTGGTTTATTTTAGAAGATACACTTTTTGGCACCACCTCTTCAAACGTGATAAATGACCTGCATTGTGTGATATATATATATATATATGTACACATATTAAATTTTAAGTAGGGTGGTGATGGCCACGGCTGGAGACAACCTATTTATGATGCTGTAGCCTGAGTCCACCTATAATGCCCATATATGTGTATATGTATGTATATATGTTTAATCTGAACATCTAACTAAAACACTCACTGACAACCCAGTACTTAAATGTGTTTCAAAGATAGTTGTGTTAAAAAAAATAAATCCTTCAGACTCCATCTTCAGTGGCACGGATACGTTAACCCTCAACCAGCCTAACCACTAGCACCAGAGGAAAATGTTCACGTTTTTTTAATCTTATTTAGGTTTGCAATTGAAGGTTAAGTAAAAAAAAAAAAAAGGGAAAAAAAAGAGAGAGAGAATATCTTTGTTTCATGTTTTTTTAGGACTTGTACATAGAAAAGGAATATAAATATTTATAAAACAAAACGTATACAATACATCAGAAAAAATATTAATTCTCATTGGTGCTTTTCTGTGGAATGCCCTACATTTGTTAATCTGTTAAATACTATAAACTTAGAAATTAAACAGTGTTTTTTTCTAAGATAAAGAAAATAAGGTTAGCGAAGTTCAAAGGCTGGGCAGACCTACAGACAGATTACCAGCCATAACAGTGACAACAGGAAGGAGTGCGTTAAACGGGGAAATCTACAATGTTCCCCATGTATATTTAGAAACAGAATCAGAATAAAATCAATTAGATTGGAACAGCAAACAAACACTATCTGCCGTATTTCCTCCGTAGACGGTCTTCTTAACATAATTAAAACATCAACATGAAAACTGGGGCTGGTGAGGCCTGAATAAATATTATTAACATCCCACACTGGATTGACTGGGATTATGTGGGGCAATTTAGGAGTAAAAATATTGTAGTTTTAAATTAAATTATTGATGTTACATTTTAATTCATGTAAATTCACATGATTTCTTCTCATGATTTTTTTATCAGGCACGTGCTGTAGCCTCTCATGTAAACCTGTTAACCCCACATTTTGGGGATGAGCAGTAAGTGATACTCTGTCGCCCTCATGTGGTCACAACGTTGACAACTGCAAAGGAGAGAAAATGGCGGCTTGAAACGATGCATAAAAACACACACCAGTCTCCGAGTCTCTTTCTCACACACACACACACACACACACACAAGTCACGTTAATGCAGTCAAATAAATAAAACAATAATAACGACTTAAGCTAAAGACGTGGTGGAAAATACGTTATTAGCACTTAAAATGGCGATTCATTAGAATCGTACGGCCAACCAGAAAGTAAAAAATGCAGCAATTTCGAATATACCATTAGATCATACCAAAACGTATGTGTACATATGCAGTATATATACATATATATATACACGTACATATACAATTACACACATGTATATATGCATATATATACACACATGTATATGTACATATACAGTATATACATACATATATACACATATGTATATATGCATATATATACACACATGTATATGTACATATACAGTATATTCATACATATATACACATATGTATATATACATATATATATACACGTACATATACAATTACACACATGTATATATGCATATATACACATATATGTATATATACATATATATATGTATATATATATATGTGTGTGTGTGTGTATATGTATATATATATATATTTATGTGTGTGTGTGTGTATATGTATATATATATATATATGTGTATATATATATATATATACACATGTATATCTATACAGACACAGTGAATATATATTACACAGTGAAATGTATCCCCTCCATTAAACCCATTCATTAAACTGGGTAAACTGGGTAAACATGTTACACACACTTCTGTGTGCAACACCTGGGGAATTATTTGGTACTTACTCAAAAGAACACAGTCTGGGCTGGGATTCAAACTAGCACTCCGACCACATGCCAGATCCTTGAGCAGCCACACCATGGTTGCAGGCTAAAAATAACATCAAACATAACCTTCCAAGTTATTGGGAAAAGATTCATTTACCTTGGGCTGTCATCATTAACGCATCAATCTGACCAAATAACCTGTGAAGTCATTGAACCAGTTGAACAGAGGCAGAACGAAGTGATCTCAATGTCTCTGATACACAAGCAATACACCTTGTCATTCACACACACAGAGCAGGAAAAGGTTTTCAGTTCACTGACACAACTCAAGCTTAAAAACACCCAGAATGCCTTGGTGTACTCTGACTCCAAGTCACTGACAGCAGGGCAAAATGTCTGTCGACAGCTTACAAGCTGACAGAGAAAACGCCAAATAATTCAACTTAAATTCACTTTTTCCTGAGAATTTTCCATCTTAATAATCCCATCATTAGGATCAGTCAACTATAAAAAAAAAAACAAAACATTAGGATCAGTCAACTATAAAAAAAACAAAAAACAAAAACAGGTGAGAAACAAAAACATCTACCTGCTGTTATTTATCTTTCTGTTCCAGCACCATACAGAACAGTGTTATAGTGACGTCGATTCATCCTAATGTAGTCCCTAACTCACATTAAAAGGCTTAGGATTGAACAGCCCTGCTGTATTTACACATACACTTGGTCCAACCACAAACCTGGACCAAGTGTTTATAGCACCTCCTGCAGGTTCACGGGCGAATTCTATAATATGCGTTTGTAAATACTGGCATAATCAACGTTTAAAAAGAAGAAGGAAAAAAAAAACAAGCATCTAAAAGTCAACCTCATTTAGAACATGACGCTGTTGGGGAAATGATACAACCATCAACTTGTGAGTAAATAAAACAGAACAAGTTAATAAGCATGTAACGAAGCGTTGCTAATGAGGAAAAGCCACACATGACTTTGTGGAGCATCTTTATTATGCCACAAATAAAAGCCAGTAGTTCTGAAAGAGGACCTTGCATTTGTTTTTTTTTTACCTTCGATTTTTTTGTCACCAACAATGACATACTGAAAATGGTGGTGGAAGCGGCTCGTGATATTATAGGTAGGTATGGTCCGCTGAGTACAGGACACGTGACGGTGAAGAGGGGAAGTGGAGGACAGAGGGTGGGTTTGGAAAGCAGAGAGGAGGAGGAGGTCAGAATGAGGAGTGGAGGAGCAGAGTCGGAGGGTTAGTAGGGAGGAAAATAAATGTGATACCCGTCAGAGAGAGGAGAGAGAGCGAGAGACAGGATGGACAGACAAAGTGATTTACAGTCAAACAAGGGGAATGCACACCAGTTCTGCTGAATATACCACATTTATTACTTTTGAACTGATTAATAGAAAGAGTGGGGGCAAGGCCACTCGCATCACTGTCTTTAGAAAACTGGGGAACGAGAAAGAAAAATAAAGAAAGCAGCCCGTAGTAACAATGAATTAACTTGTCCAAGAGAAAGAGGGTAAATGAAGTCCGATGAAGACTGTTAACAGAAGGCCCATTCTTTTCCTCTTTAGAAGATTTAAATTATACACCCAACAGGGCTCATCAACTCAACACATCTTCTGCTTTCAAACTCTCCCTTCCCTCCTCTTCCCTTCCTCTCTCCAGATCCTCCAGACTCCCCTGCCTCCCCCACGTGCACACACACACGTACCCGACACATGCAACAAGGAAAAAAACAAAACAAGAGGGCTGCCCTAAAAACATCCGCAGTCCTCTCCACCAAAAACATGGCCAGCATGTGTGAAACAGACTCTGGGCCGAGTGCAGGTAGGCAACAACCGCCTACGATGAAAATCCACCGAGAGAGAACTCCACTATGTCCAGGTCGAGACTCGAGCATCCTCAGGAGACATGGGGTCGTGAAGGGGAGGAAGTTACAAAACGAAAAAAAAAAGAAGAAAATGAGACAAACTGCCCAATCTCATCTACAGGGGACACTATTACAAGCCGACGCTACAGATTTCTATAGGATTTGTGTCTGTGAGAATTAAAGACTCGCTCTTGGACCATAAAAACAGAGAATCCTTTCATTTATAAAAAGGAAACGGGGGGAAAAAAAAAGGATGCTATGCATTTAGTTGTAGTCCTATGAATAATCGTTTCCTTTTGTTTTTACTACAAGTTCGAAGTAAGTCTTTAAAGTCAAAAGAAATCAAGAAAGTCTTCATTTAGTTTTTTTTTTGTCCTTGGTTAATTCTTCACCCCTATTAGAATTTCTTTATAGATCTGAATGCAATGATGTAATGGGGTGTGTAGGGCTTTGGGGAGGACTGGGGGCACTGCAGTCTTTTGACCAAAGCACTGACTGTTACTTGACTCGTCCTTGGCGCTCCTGAAACAACAAATGAGAGAAGAGAAAAATGATACATGTGGACGTGATAACTGAACATTCAACAGACACGTGACAGATTGAGCAGTGTCACACCTTAACAAACATAAAGGTCCATTTAATACTCAATTTAAAAACAATGTTAACAATCAGATTAAACATCTTTATTTCATCCTTCTCACTTATTTCCTCAGTTTCTGTGTCGTACTCCCTTCATTGTCACCAACATCCGGTCTCCATCCTACTGACCTGATTCCCATCAGTCATTTAATCTGTTCAATTCCTTTGTGTAAGAGGGATTTTTATAACCAGTTGAAATGTTGTTATTTAGCATTTTTCCCAGGTGCACTTCAATGAGCCTCAGTACAAGACCCTGGTGTGAAAACCTCCCTTCTGGAACTCCCTCCCACCAGACGTCTGTTACATTGACTGCCCTCCCGTTTCCCAGTATTAAAATTAAACTAAAAATATAAACTAATTTCTCCGATAAAGTCTGTATCGTTTTTGAAATTAGCGCGTTGTTGTTACAAACATGCCATAATGTCAGTCTATATAAAAAACATGAGCTTCACACGGTTCATTTATTTTGTTTGCCACAGACCCATAATTAACAAAACACTGGAGACCTCTGGAATCACCATTACCAAAATGAAGCCGACTTCTGCAGAAATAGGCAATGAGTTTAACACTAAACCCTTAAGCGGTGGTAAAGCTGTGGACTGTAATAACCTCAGACGATGTTTATTGATAAACAGAGTACTGCCCAGAGGGGCGAGACACTCAAACTGTGTTAAACTCAAGGCCTGAGGGCCAAATCCGGCCAAACGCACCCTTTTATGTGGCCCACCAAACCAGTACTAATGTGGACTGGATTAAATGTAATAAAATGCATTGCAATATCTGGACATATCCCACATTTAATGTGTAATAAGCCAGGACAAGTCTTTTGCAGTGAGATTCACTTCTTCATTTCTGGTAAAATCACCATCAGCACTAGACTGTTCTATAAATATTGATCCTGTTCGGCCCACAGCTTAGACTGGGTCTGGTCACCTTGAGTGATTGAGTTTGACACCAGTGCTGTAGGATGTTTATTATTTAGAGTACAGTAGGAAGTAGTAGTGAAGCAGTGGCAGCAGTATGGAGGTAGCAGTGAGTCACCAGTGCTTACAGCACATAAGGGAAACCCTGGCTTTTACATTGTTCTGACACCACCCTGTTCTATTAGCTGACACCTATACAGGGACCTATACACACATACATTTTCTTTTGTGAACATGAGACAGTTCTTTACAATTTAATTGTTGATTGATTTAACTTAACTCTGACATGATCCTGAATGTAAGTTCTCTTCCTACTGGAGTTGGTATTGAGACCTCCACTCTAGGACTCTGACAACAACGACGCTTGTCAAACTTTTATCTTTTTTTTGGGTTTGGGGGTGGTGATAAACTTGACTCTACAGCTGTAATCTGCTCAAGATTATCTCATGCCCATGTCCTAATTTCTATATTGTTTATGTGCCTTCTGTCATTCAGCCTCTGCACATTACACATCAGCAGGTGTCGCTAAACTAAAACTTCCTTCTCAGAGCTGTGCATCTATTATAATTGTCTCCAACAACTCCACCCTGACTAATTCACACTTCTCCTTTTCTTAGGACAGTGGTTCCATTGATGGTCCACATTTTTATCTTCTTCCTTTTACATTGTCTTTGTGTGAAGTATGAACAGATCAACAACATTCACGCTGCGTCCACATATGGTAAACAAACAGGGAAAGTTACCTGAAGCCTGTAATGAGTCCTGTTGCTTGGGTTGCTGGGATATGGCTCGTTGCCTTGGACCTCCACCTGTCACACAGAGGAGGAGTGAGAGCTGAACACAGTGACGCTGCATTTTATACTAGAACTAATGACCAAACGCTGTGCTTTGGAAATTATGACCAGGTACAAAGGTAGAAAAGACTTGTGGAGCTTCAGACTTATTTGATTGTCAGATTTTCATAGAAACAGATACACAGAGTGACAATATAATTCATCAACTAAACACTTACCGAGTCTAAGGTTACTGAACATAAAGCTGGTATAATATTACACACTCATTGCTGTAACCATATTTTTCACATTTCTTAACGTGGATTATTTAAATAGTGTTAATGAGAAAGCAAAAATCAGAAAATGTGTTCAGCAATACAAAAAAAAAAAATTCTAGAATTTACATTAGTACACTGATAAAAACTATACTGATCCAAATTATGATATATATTTATATATATTTCTTTTCCTGCTTTCAGCATGTGTGTTTGATCGACCTGTTCTTTTTTTGAAAACATGAATAAACTGCAAACTTTTAATTAAGTGGGAAAAATAAATTGAAATAATTATATTAAAAAAAAGCACAGCAAAGAAATAATTGTTGACCCAGATGCCACACACACACATTCTATAAACCAACAAATGTATCCCACTATGCTGCAGAGTCACTTCACTATCCAGAAAATGTGCTTCACCACTGTAGGAGAGATTAGAGCTCAGACATGAATGAATAGCTCTTTCAAATATTAATTTAACGAGCTGACGCACAATTTTCACACAGTTGCTAGAGTCGATTTAGTTATTAAACAAATTGCGGCCAATATTCAAGCGTGCATTTTAATAAATCAGTGTCGGTGGGCTGCACGACAGAGCAACCTGTGAGCAGGACATAAAAGACTCAATGTGTCGTAATGAAATCCCTGAGCGACATCAGGAGAGGGAACGTCAGCAATTCATGATTTTTTTTTCTGTGAGACCATTTTTCTAAGTGTAAGATTTATACCTCAGGTTTGAGTGTACTGAGAAAAAGTAATATTCCAAAGTACTATTGAAAATGGCTTGCTATTGCTTGCGTTTACTTGTCTGACCAAAATAAATGCAACACTGTCAGTTTTTCATCCTTGTCTTCACACACACAGATAGACAAACAAGGAATGGCAGTAATGTTTCTGTCATTCATACACTTTCAGTTTTTATGGTTGAGAGACCTTTCCACTCGGTTGTTTACTCTTTCTTTCCCGTCTCTCTGCCACATGCTGGGACCCAATTAGGTTTGTGTTGAGATAATATGCAGCTACTTGTATTCATAGACATGCAGTCGTTTTGTTCCTTACAGGGCACACCTGTAACTTCAAAAAAGTAGCAGCATACCAGTTGTTCACTTGCGTCACATACCCCAAAGATTACATTACATATATTTTGAGAAAGGTATATACAACACCTGGACAGACACCAAAAACAAAAACTTTGCTTCTGCTTGTCTGTTAATGTGGTCTGTGTCTCTGACCCCTGGTTGCTTTAGTAACTTCAACTGCACTTCCTCTCACTAACACCAAGTCCACGCAACTCTCTTTGATGCTGCAGGTGCAAAAAACGCGACATGTATGACCGAAAACAGGTGAATCAGGATGCTTGAGATGGAAGTGATAGACCATGATTATTTATGAAATCATAACCAAGTATGTTTATGGGATTCACACTGTACGTGAACCTACAAAGCTTTGATTTGAAAACCAATTTGTCACCAACTACTTTACCTTTTTGACACACTCTTCCTCCTCCTGACGCTTCTCATAGTGGGAGAAGTCATCGAAGATGGAAGTGGTGTGTTTAAATCCAGCGATGATCTTTAGCACCTGCCTGGCCTTGTCCAGTGGTACCTCCTGTGTGTCCCGAGAGTTGGTCACTGGCTTATTTTCGTTGTTTTCCAGTCGAATGTGCCTCAGCTGACTGTTGGGAACGTCCTTAACAAAGATCCAACGCACATCAAAACGACCCTTCCACTTGTCCTGTGACCACACGCCAGCAGACGTGTTGTAGTCCACCGGTGAGCGCATCTCTGCGACACCGCAGAAGTGACCACTCCCGTTGACACTGAAAAGAAGATACAACGGCCCTTTGCCGCCCAGAGAGCGGTAAGCAGCGTCCAGCCTCTTGTTTCCGTGCTCCGTGCTGCACCAGATGTTGTACTTGATGGAGCGGTGGATATCGTCCTCTGAGTAGCTCTTGATGATAAACACCCTGCCCTGCTTGGGATTCCAGTCAAAGTCCTTGGGATTATAGTTGTTGACCATACGCAACTTCTCTAGGACTGGATGAGGCTCAGAGGGAACCCCGGGAACAACACCCACACCAGACGAAGATGGAGGTGACTGCCCTGCTCCATTCCCACCAGCATCCCCAAATCCATTGGCCCTGTTCCGTGGAGGCACCCAACGAGTGGGTTGAGAAGGTTGCTGCTGTTGGCTGGGCGGAGGAGGACCCTGGGAGAGAGGAGGCTGTGGCACTGGAACCATACCTGGCTGCCCACTAGGCGGAAGCTGGTGCTGCCCCATCTGGGAAACGGGTGGAATCAGCTGTCCATTGCTGAGGGGCATTTGTGGGTTACCTACAGCAGTAGCACCAGGCTGCGGAGAACCTTGATTGGGTGGCTGCCCATTGCTGGGAACAGTGGGCACCTGCTGCGGGGTGGCTGCTTTAGGCATGGTACCCTTGTTGTCCCAGGTGCCAATGTCCATGTTGTGTTTAATGGGTGGAGGCGGTAAATTGGCACCAGCCATACCACCCTTGGTTTTCAGCTTGGGCTGAGGCTTGGCGGGCTTGCTGGCAATGTCAGCCCAGGAAGCAGGCTTGGCAGGGGCAATTGAGACAGGAGGCATGCTCGGAGGTCCTACAGAGGAAACAGGCCCAAGCGGACCACCACCAGGCAAACCAGAACCAACCACCTTAGGGGCCATGTCTCCATTACCTCCTGGAGCAGCACTGCTGATCTTTAGCCCTGCCATGCCCTGGTCGAGGCTGTTCATACCAGGCGCCTTGTTGAGTGGCTCGTTGGCAGCAGGTGCAAACGGGGACTGTCCGTCAATCATGGCACCTCCGAGGGAACTGGGAGCATAGGGATAGCTGCTGCTGTAGCCAGAATTCTGAGGTGTTCCCGATTGTCCCTGAGAGCTGTTGTTCCCCCAAGCAGAGAAGTCGATGCCACTGGGGAAGAAGTTGAAGCCGTGCTGGCCCAGGAAAGGGTTGTTCCCCAGTGGGCCAGGTTGACCAAACATAGCGTCCGGGAGGTAGTGGGGCTCCCCATTGCTCAGCTGTCCATAGGAGGCCAGGTAAGGCATAGGAGGGTCCCCACCTGTGGACCATGGTGCCTCGTTCACAGAGTAGGAAAATCCTATGGAGGGGCTGTAGTAGCTGGGCATGTACGAGTCTGACATGGCCGTATAGGCATTGCTCTGAAATAAGAAATTAAGACTTTAGTGACTCTAACTGAGAATAGATAAAATTATACATCACCAACTTTTACAACCGTCTAAAATAAACACCTGCTACAGCAGTTGTAATAATATTAAATCATCTGCTTATTTTCACTTCATTTAATGCCGTGAGAGCAGAACACTGAACTTAGTTTAGTGAGAACTTAGTTAATCTATAGCTTCTTGGACAATAGCAGAGCCTTTTCTTTTGTACTGGAGGAAAACAGAGGCAGTATTCATTTCCTCAACAGACCACTTAATGTCTGTTTGTACATGGACAATGAAAAAACATATTTCAAATATATTTCAGGACCGTTATAGACAAAGACATTTATAAAATGGCAGCAGGAAATTGCTGTTGATAATTCTGTTTCATTTAGATGATTAGCTATAATTAACATTTTTCACAACTGGAGAAGGCAACACATCTGTACAAGAAACCTGCTAAAACCTACATGAAATGTTGGGATTTTAAAAAAGCTCACCTGTCTGGCCTGAGTATTCAGGTAAGGCTCAAACTCATCGTCATTCAAGGTATCTTTTTGTGTGACAGCTCCGTTTTGCACTGAAAGAGAGAGAAAGACATGACAATGTTAAAGACCACAAACACAACAAGTTGCTGTACCAAGTAAAAATACACAACATGGCATGTACCCTGTTATATAAGCATCATCAGTGTTTATTATGAAACAGAACCACTCCCTGTAATTATTTCCACTGAGCACAGAATGACAAAAAGATCAATTAGTCACTTCTGCAGAACAAAGTTACATAACAGTGATTTATGACCTAATATTCAATGCACCTGCCTCAGTCTTAGACTCAGGTGTAAACCAAGCCCCATATGAACAATATGTATGATATGTCTGCAAAAATAAAGTTTCACGACCGCAGAGATACTGAAGCAAGTGAGAATTTACGTGACCCACTCCTGAACTGTGGTTTCCTTGCTAAACAAAACGTGGACAAAAGACATTACTTTCAGACTTAGACATTTCCACTCTACACCGATTGCAATTCATTGATGAGACCTAGGCAATATACATAATGGTCTCATGAAATAGTTTACTTTGTTACTGCTCACAACAGAACTAATTGAAGAGGGGTCTCAACCTCGCTCCTATGATCCTGACAGCCCAGCAGTCTGAAGAGTACACCTAGTAGATTTTTTTTTAAATTTAAATAAAAAGTAACTTACTATCACAAAGTTTTCTAGAACACGCATAGAAAGGTAAAATCCGAGGTTTTTGTTCCGTCTTGATTACTTGGTAGGACATGTTTGAAAAGATGTGGTAACACTTTCCTAAATCTATAAGTGTGCTCATTGTATGGGGTGGATGTTTCTGCTGTTTCAAGTGAAGTGCGGTTCTTCAGCCCTTCAGACATGTACTTCAAATATTCACACGAAGTATACAGCTTGAACAGCATGGTGATCGGAACGTGTGCGGCCTGTTTGGACCCAAGAACAGCATGTGTCGGAAGACGTGTCATCTTGGGTTAAGTTAGCCCCCGCTAACGATAGCACAGTGTGTGAACGGTGTTTGTAGTTAGCTTCCATGCAGCGAGTGCGCAGCGTCTCCATGTCACGAGCGCCAACACTTCTCTAACAAAATAGACAGGGCTAACCATGAGCTCAACTGAAAAACATGATGCTAAAAACATAACCTAAATTTTTAAACTAAGAAATAAAATACATAACCATGGATCACCTGCATTTAACAGTGTCCTAAGGAGGAAAAGATGCTTTACGGATCAACGTTGTCATTTAACGCTCTTAGCACGTCAAGGAGGAGCTAATGCTAACTGTTGGACCCATGAAAACATAAATGCATTCATCTCTCACGGGGGGCAACAGGGTCAAAACACGGATAGGAACTACTACACAGTTTCTATTGTGTGTTAATTTGTAACTTTATATAAGGCCCAACTACAGGCCTATTTGTCCAGACGCATCCGCGCACGCAAGCTTTTCAAAGCGCACTGCACCGTAAAAAAAGGTCCGCAATCGGTCAGAGCTCACAGAGACAAAATACGCTCTTACCTTTATTAGCTTGGCCTTTCGGTCTCTGGATTGGGTCCAGGTGATTCATGAAGGTTTGATTTATGAGAAGAGAGGAAGGGGAAAAAATAGATGAGGAGATATATAGTGAGAGCAGTCACTCAGTTCCTGTAGCAGGTGGTCAGGCCTAGTGCACTAGCGAGCCACAGCCGCTGCCTCAGAGCTAGAGCTAAGCTATCCCGGTTAGCCGTCGCGATGCTGACAAATGGCCCTCGTAAATGTTCAGAAAATACCTCTCTTTACCTGTTCAAGGAGGCTGCTGGCTGACATGTCTTTCCCCCTGGCGCCTGTATAACTGTATTTATTCCTAAATAAAAGCGGCAGGGTGCAGAAAAGGTCTAGCTATGTAGAATAGTTTTAGCCGAGCGCCACTGTCTCTCTACAGTGCCTGCTTTCTACACAATGGCGGGCTGCAGTTTCTCTGACACACTCCTCAACATGGCTGAGCGGCCTCCTTTACAAACCATGGCCTTTATTTACAACCGACAGGCGCTACCTAGTGGAGTGGAGGAGCAAGCACATTTTCCAATCACGGAAGTGTTTATTTCAAAGCACCTTATTTAAGAAATTGTACAATAAGTATATTATTTTCACTTAGGAATTACTTAATGAATGAAATAGTTATTAAACATGTGTTAAACATGTTAGGAAAACATACAGCTGAGATCGAAAAAAAAATCTGGCTTAAGTTTAGTTTTGAAAACAATGCTAATAAAAACAACACAAACATTGCAATAATAAAATCCCTCAACTATACCATAAATAGCCAGAAAATACATTAGTTGGAAATTAGGTTTAGATAAAAGTATCAATCGTTAAGATTTTGAAGCGTGCATCATGGAAAGAAACATTAATCAAATATAAGGTGTCGGTTACTCTTTTGACATTGTCTAAATGCCATAGTTCTACCACTAGGTGGAGTGCTCCACGTTGTCGTGAGCACCCTCGTGTCGTGCAGTTATCACACATTCGATTTGTGTACCATGAATTGGTCTAGGTTTTACCCTTTGTGAGTCACTCTCTAATGTATTCTTTCATCTCACATTTAGGAAGACATTTAATTGGGAGACTGCCTCCGTTTTTAACAACTGTTTTAATGACGTGTATTTGGTAGAGTTGACAATAATGACACTAATGAGATGCATCTCTGAATGAGGTTGTCTCAGTCTGTGACTCACTCTTTAAATCTATTATCGCCCTGGACATCTGCTAATTCAAAACACTCTATGTTTAAATACACTACAGTTAGTATGGTGGGGGTTTTTTTTATGTCTGAATGATTTTGTGATCAGACAGCAATACATTATGTCTTTAATAACATTTTGAATGCATCTTTTAAATTTCAGGGTTATTATCTAAATTAATGCAATGAAATTCTTTGTCTGAAACTGTAATTTCAAGTCGATTTTCAAAAGCAGTTTGCAGATGTGTTCGTAAAATAAAACAACAAATGAAACAACCCCCAAAAAAAGTAGAGGTGAAAGAAGATACTGGATGAGTTCACAAACAAAGATGGACAATTGTGAAGTATCTTTTTAAACATTTTGCATCACAGAACTCAAACAAGAATGCAGATCTCCATAATGTGCATTTGAAAAAACCAACCGTTCCTACAGGTTCTTCTACCTTTAGGTTTGAACATACAGCCAAGGGATGACATCATGTTCGCTGCAGTCGGATCCCCTTATCATCTACTGTACTCATCGGTTTTCAGTGCACGCATTACTCAAATGGCCTGTGACTCGACTGAACCTTGGACCAGAAATAACTGCACCCTTCTCACACACACGGACAGACACACTTACTGTCACACAACAAAATCATTTTAGTGCTGTTTCAGGAAGAAGCTGAAAACCGTAGGATTTCCTTCAACGAGTTTTGAAATCAAAACAATAAGAATAATAAATAACTAGTGCTCATGTTAAAGGATGTGAGAGTGACCGTTGACCAAACCAGTAGCAGCGACAGTCATTTGACTAGTCAAACATGTTTAGCGCAGTAGCTTGGCACGCGTGTATCATATTCAGTCTTTCAACTCTCAATCATTTTTTCGCTGCTTGACTTTTTCCTCCTGGGGCCTTGTTGACTGCTGTGGACCGGACAGGTGGCATAGCATGTAGCAGAGCTGGCCATTTACCATCCAATAAAAATAGCTGCGGTCTCCATGATGTCACCGGTGAGTAAATCATGGAGCCTGATGATAAAACAGGATCTGCATTTTTCTTATGCCGATCTGCATTTCTCTTTTATAGGATGTACATAATTAGAGCCTGACCGCTAATGATGGAAGTCAAACAATGACAAATGAAATATACCAACCACACACACCACCAGCACCAGCTTTATTTGTAAAGATCTAGTAAATCACAATACGTATTTTTTCTTTAAAAAAAAAAGTAGGCACATGAACATGAAGAAACCTGCAAATAAAAAGTGCCTAAAATTTATTTTTGTAAATTGCTGCAATGTCAGCATTTACAGGCACGATAAAATGGCTTCACAGAGAGAACAGAGTGATCAGGTCGAAAAGCCACAACATTTTTGATTTTCCAATAGATTTTTTTTTCTGCAGCTATAAACATCTATTTTTGGCCATTGTTGTCATGTGACCTTTGTGATCACAAATGACACTATGGTGTTTGTCTGTGATGTAATATGAAAACTCTCCATAACTGCCTCCAAGAAAAATATCAAAGCAACATTTGAACAATTCCACTACCACAGCGCCCCCTACTGATCAAAGCAGGCAGTACAAATATTTTTGGCTTTTATCCTTTTTTGTGTTTTTTTTTTTGAGTGCAGTTTCAATTCCACTACCACAGCGCCCCCTACTGGTCAAAGCAGGTAGTACAAATATGTTTGGCTTTTATCCTTTTTTGTGTGTGTTTTTTTTTTAATGCAGTTTTCTGTGTCAGGTCAATCAGCTTCCCCTTATTTTACTCCAGCCCCCAACTGACCAATTGCTCAGTCACTGCTGCTGTAGGGGGCGGTTTCAGACACAGCCCATGCCACTTGTGTCAAACTCAGGCCTGGGGGCCAACTCTGGCCCACAGTTTAATTATATTTAGTCCGGGAGATCATATCAAATATGTACTAGAGTTGGCCTACCAGTATGTAGCACCTATATACTGGCAGGATGTGTAGTATTAGCAGTGAAAACTACTGATGTGTGTTTTATTTTAAATATAAATTCTCATGTGTTTATAATATTAAGCTTCAGTTGATCCTGATTTAACACAAAACTAAAGTTTGTTTCCATATGAAACAATTCTACATTACAGACCTGGAGAGAAGGGCAGGATTGTGTCAATTTTTAAAATAAATATTAAGTTTGGCTCGTGACTTTGTCCTAGTTTTGAATTTTGGCCCACTGTGAATTTGAGTTTGACACCCCCGGCCTATAGCTTGTCATGTACACATCATCTGTCAGGGTCTGGGTTTCAATAACGTACAGCCTGTACATTGGTTTTCAGGCACGTCCTCGGTCGTCCTTGTTGTTGTGTCATCTCAAAGAAGCACTTCAACTCAACACTGGATCAGGTTTCATCCCCAGAAGGAGTTCCCACCGGTTTAGTCGCATCTGCAGAGGTTAATCTTTTGAGTCATGAAAAAGTAAATGATCAGACTCTTGAAAGACCACTTTGCTCACACCAGCCACCACTAACACTGCCATCTTCAGCCAGTTGTACTGGCCACAGAAGCCAGAAAGGGTGGACAAACTAAAGCCGGAGTCTGATCTCACTCCCATGCCTGGCATTCTGAAGCCGCAACACCATGCTGCCGATGTGGAACCCGATCACTCATAAATCTCCCCTGTTTGACCATGTGACATGCCAAAATTGTGATTCCGCACCCCCGGCCTTGTCCACCTTTACTTCTGTCCGGTGGCCTTCTCA